GCTTCCCATAAACAGACGCTACGTCACTTGATACCTGCATTTATACATGTCAACTGTGTAATTGAGATAAAGGTGTGTAGACTTTGTTTGCTACTGGATTAAAATAGGACTTAATTATTTTGGCCCTCTGGGTGTTATAATAGGTATTATTTATCTGATTTAACGGACAATCAAAAGGTGTGAAAGTCGTTTAAATCAGACCAAACATTGCATTGGGACCTGACAATTAGGGTCGCTTGTCACATATGACAGGGAGTCGTTTAATTCAGACCATTTATATAGGAAAATACGTTGGGAGTACTGAAACAAGGTCGGATAAGACAGGGAGTCGTTTAAATCAGGGGGTCGCTAAGGCAGTCTCGACTGTATAACCAGTCATTGGAAATTCCTTTGTTTTTTTTTTGGTTATTTTGTTCAAGGAAAATTAATAAGTGTTTTTTTTTCTTCTCTCTCTATCCAATTCTTCATCTTTTAGTAATAATGACATTTATTATTTAAACTTTAGATAAAGTCTGGTTTCTTCTATCTATCCTTGTAAGTAATATATAAGCTTTAACTGTATTAAAATGTTCAAAGAAAATGAATGGTTTGAACTGTTATACCAAGTTACATGCTATCATGCCTACATTACACTGACTCTTGTCTTTGGAAATTTTCATCTCACAAATTTTTGGCAATGAATATTATAATATGACCCCCCCCCCATTTCACTTAAGATAAAATTGAACAACTCTGGTTGTATGAAATTATTTCAATTTTTTAAGAGCCTACCAAATTAAGTTTGTGTTAAACATCAGCATGATTTTATAATTAAAACATTTTTTGTATCAGTAAGACAAAAGGGTGTTTCTATGCATTGCACACAGGCAGATCTTCACAGCAAGACCTTTACACCCATTGATTATTAATTTATAAATTCTTTGGATAGTTTGGAAGATGATTTTCAAAATTTTAATAACCTGTCAAAAATATGCAAGCTGGTTTGTTGCAAAGAAAATTATAATATACTGATTTACAACAGTTCCCAGGGAATGTTAAGCAACTCAGGAACAGTTAGAACATTATAATTTAACCCTTATTATTACACAATTAATAACCTTTTTCATGTAAACAGACTTGCACTGCATGCTTTAAAAGAACTCCATTTAAAAGGCCCAAAAGCCTTAAAACCACAAACATAGATCAGCTTCGGATCTTAAAACAGAAATATATGCCAAAAGATAATTTAGAAATATAACAAGAAATAAATTGAAAATTGTTTTTTTTGTAATATCCTTAACCTACTTTAAGTGAAAAGTGTTGAAATTTGGGTAATTTTTCACAATTGGAATAATTATTCTGGAAAAACAGAATGCACAAATGATCTGTAATTTTGCACCCAAGTAATAGTTCTAGACCTACATCAAATGAAACATTAGTTTAAGGAAATTATTGCTACTCCTGTCATGACAAAAAACCTCTGTGACATTCTGTAAATGTCCGAATGTTTAAGTAAGCTAGTTTGCTATTAAAAATTCAAAAATGAAGCAGAAAAGAGACAACCTTAGCATTGTACAAGGTGATATAGTTACTATGCTAATTTAATATCAAAACCATCACTAATTTTAGGGGAAATATTCAAATATGTACTGAGTAAATAACAAACAATGCAGACCATGATCAGACATCACAGATGTGCCAACTGATCTTGGTCTACAGTGGTTGCATTGGTAGAATCTGCTGCCTTCAGTAGGGCAAGTGTTAGAAATATTACAAGAGTATATAAGTAAGATATTAATGAAAGAAAATAAGGTAATTAAGTGGAAACATTTAAACAAAGTCATTCAAGTTTTAATACACTGATGTATCACAGATGCACTTGTTTCTCTATGCATTAAATGATCTAAATATAACTTTTGCAATAAAAAGAAATATATTTATAGCTTAACAAAAGAACCAAAAGTTACTTAGTTGCATAAAGTGTCATTTTGCTAATAAAACATGCAACAATAAATTGATCATAAAATAAAATTCATACAAAGACATGTGGTACCATTAAATATACTTGTATTCCTATCAGATTGTGGAATATCCTGGAATAGTTATACTTCAAACAGTTTTTATTGCAGTATAAAAGATGAGCAATAAGTTCACCACCAACTGGGATAGCAATATTGTAGTGATAATATTCCTTGGACAACACCATGTGTTGCTTTTTTATTTCATTAAATAGTAAAATTACATAATAATAGAAATGATGTATTTTGTAATCTCTAGAGGACAAAAATGAACAACTCAATCCTTTAGAATAAATGATATTTTTTGCTTCTTTAATCATTATGAAAAGATAAAAGGATAGAAAGTTTCTAATAATGGAAATAGATTCAGAGAAGATATTTTAAAATTTCATTAATTAGAAATGTATTTCTGCTGTAAGAAAATACCCTTCCCCATTCTTTTTTTAAAAACACCTCTAAGACGTATATTTGAATCAATTATAAACTTTTAATATGATTTATCACATAAATAAATAAGAAAGAAAGATCAAAAGAAAGATACTGAAGCAGGTGTTATATTGACATGATACTGAAGCAGGTGTTATATTGACATGACACTGAAACAGGTGTTATATTGACATGATACTGACGCAGGTGTTATATTGACATGATACTGAAGCAGGTGTTATATTGACATGATCCTGAAGCAGGTGTTATATTGACATGATATTGAACAGGTGTTATATTGATATGATACTGAATCAGGTGTTATATTAAAATGATACTGAAACAGGTGTTATATTAACATGATACTGAATCAGGTGTTATATTTACATGATATTGAAGCATGTGTTATATTAACATGATACTGAATCAGGTGTTATATTTACATGATACTGAAGCAGGTGTTATATTAACATGATACTGAAACAGGTGTTATATTAACATGATACTGAATCAGGTGTTATATTTACATGATATTGAAGCAGGTGTTATATTTACATGATATTGAAGCATGTGTTATATTGACATGATACTGAAACAGGTGTTATATTGACATGATACTGAAGCAGGTGTTATATTAACATGAAACTGAAACAGGTGTTATATTAACATGATACTGAAACAGGTGTTATGATACCAATACATGATAATTAGGTGTGTGTTATATTGACATGAATTTAAATATGTGTTGTATTGACATGGCACTGGTGTGTTATAGTGACATGATACTGAAGCAGGTGTTATATTGACATGATATTGAAGCATGTGTTATATTAACATGATACTGGTGAATAATATTTACATTATACTGTAGTGTGTAATATTGACATGACACTTGTGTGTTATATTAACATGATACTGAAGTATTTAAACAGAATGACATAATATTGCATTGTGTGTAATATAAACAGATTACAAAAGTGACAAAAACATGTCTAAGACAATTTCCACAAACATAAAGGTGTATAGATGTAATAAAAAGCCGACAACATGAGAGGAATCCTGATTAATTGTGTCAACAGAAATACGTGCCAATTTCTAGCAACAATAAAACCCATCTTGTGAATAACTGACAATTAACGTAACAGTTTTCCTGTTGTCTTTCTACATAACAATTGCTTATGATAATGGTAAGCACATCCAGACAGGAATAATTTATGCCAATTTCCTCATGAAGTTTTTATGTATTAATTACAAAATACAAAGAGATAATTGGGAATACTTCAGGAATTAGTCTTATGCTATTTTCCCCATCACTTAATTAAAACATCAAAATATATTTAGAGCTTTAAAATAAATTTTTACAAACAAACAAAACATTAAAAAATAATCTGTAATGGTAATTAGACAAAATAGATGAAACTATAAGAAATAACCAGAAAAAAAATACAAAAAGGTTTTTAAAAAGTGCCATATAATGTTGGTTATTAACATCATAATTTAGAAAGAAAATGGAATAAAAGTTAATAAAAGATAATTAAAATACAAAAGGACAGAAAACATTCCATAAATAGAAACATAACAAAATGTTAATGATGATGATCATTATAGATTAACAAAGTATGAAAAAGAAACACCCACAGTTAAAATAAACACTTAACAGAGTGTTTTTGAGTTTGTGTTGCAACTCCCATTCTATTCAAGCAAAAGACTATAATTTTATTCATTACATGAAATCAGACCCTAGTTGAAACCCGTATATTTATAATATATAATAATCATCATGAATTAATCAGAAGAATTATGAATTAATTGTTTTTATTTCTTCTATAATGAACTTTTATTTCCATTATATTATACATTAATAAATAGCAACACTGTATTAATTTTTCTATGTACAGGTTTGATTAATTATGTTATGGCAGATTCCATATGTCTGAAATTCCTTCCAACAGTGTTTTATACATCATAAAAAAACTTATATATCTTCCAAACAATTTTCATAACAAAAATCTCTCCAAAACTTACAGATCATCAGTAGTTACAAATAATTCAATGAACATAAATGTCCTTTGAATATCGTAATTAAGCTTTATTTTTTATCTTATAGCTAGCAAAGTATTACTAATTTTTATCTACTGCTAAATAGTGAAATTTTGTAATGTTATAATTATGTACTGCTATAAATAGTGAAATATCTTATTTGTTTATTACTAAGATATATTCCATATCACTCACTGCTGATTCACACATTGAAAACTTCATCAAAATGTTTTGGCTTATTTCGTGACATATAATAATTGTATTTTACACATATATGTTTCTTCCTGCTATATACACATGTAAAAGTACATTATACTAACTTTCTTACTTGCTTTAAGTTATAATATAATTATGAGACCTTGAGAGAGATTTTCTAGTAACAGGCAGCCACAAAAACTAGCACTGAAATATATTGTTTATAACTGAAAAAAGTAAATAACCTTTAAACATTTTTTCTGACAGAAACAGTTCTCAGATAAATATGCCTATCTAACACTTCAGTACATTGTTGATTATATGTTTTATTATTTATTTCAGGTTACTGGCCATTTGACTACATTGTATGTGACATTTACGTGACAAGTGATGTTCTAATGTGTACATCATCTATACTTCATCTATGCACAATATCTGTGGAGCGCTATCTTGCCATCAGCTCACCTCTCTCTGTTAGAAATAAGTCAAAAGGTGTTGTTCTTACAAAAATTGTTCTAGTTTGGATACTGTCATTAATGATAACTAGCCCGATCACAATTCTTGGGTTCATAGATCATAGAAATGTTTTGAACGATAATCAATGTGCATTAACCAATCCAGACTTTATTATATACGGATCAATTGGAGCTTTTTTCATTCCTCTATCAATAATGGTAACAACCTATGGTCTTACAATACGCTTGTTACGTAAACAAGCTTCTATGTGTGGGCAGGGTCGCAATAATGAAGGGCAACCCATGATTCGCCGCTCAACTAGCAGAAAACCAATCAAATTTAGACAAAGAGTGAAGTTTGAACCAAGACGGACCAAAAGTTGTCCGCATAAAAAGTGTAATTATCCGGAATATTGTAATCGTACAAGGAGTGTAAAATCTGTAGGCAACAGTATAGAAAAAAATCTACCGGAAATACAAATAAGTCCTCCTCCTTCACCTTTATACGCCAAACATAATGAACCAGAATTTGACACAATTATTGAAGAAAATCATAATGGTTTAAACTGGCGGAAAGGAAGTATTACCAGCACAACTTGCAGTACAATCAGTGGGGATTCTCCGAAAAGACTTAAAAGTTTAGTCAATAAACATCAAAGTGCCCTAAAAGCTGCAAGTATTCTTTTAATGAGAAAAGACAGAGACAAGGACAGCAACTCCTGCGACAGATCTCCGCGTCATGAACAAGATGATGTCAACACTGAACAGCGTGCATCAAAAGTTCTTGGAGTAGTTTTTGCAATATTTGTGATACTGTGGGCGCCGTTTTTTGTTGCCAACATAATGACAGTTTTATGTAAGGAATGTGAATTTCAACCTTTACTTTTTACAGCTTTTGTGTGGCTAGGATATGTTTCTAGTACCCTTAACCCAATAATTTACACTATGTTTAATAAAACGTTCAAAATGACTTTCATAAAGTTGTTAAAGTGCCAATACAAGACAATACAGAAATCACTGCGAGTACGATGGCACAGTAGAAATGGGTACCAATCCACATTTAGGACACATTCTTACTATATGGCTGACAGTAAAGCAGAGTCCCAGCTCTAATCAAAGGGAACCAAATCATTCATGGGCATTTGCAGTCTGTTAGGGATCAATGTAACACTGAAGTAACTAATAAACATACAGTTTGCATACAGTTAGGACAGTGTAGCATTGAACCCTCTCTGAAGTCAGACTCAATTATTTCTGTCATAAATCATAACAGTACTTCTCTATATGTATTATCATTTATCATTAATATTACAACTTTTCTTCATTTTTCTTATGCTACAAAACATGTATATGAATATCTTAATGCTTCTAGTGAAATAATAAAAGGTACATAAAATGTAATATTTTTCCTTACAAAACGTTGTCAAGGAAACAGAGATGGTGCTAGCATCATTTAACTTGATAAAGAAGGTCAGTGAAAATTTAAACCAATGTTGTTTGTATTAATCATGTGCAATATCATCAAATTATTACAAGAACAAAACATTAAACTGGTGTCTTTCATTTAATTTTATAAAGGTTATAAGGTTTTTATCATCATTAAATATTTAATATTTTCATTTATTTTGATATTTATTGGGAGATTATAGTTTTAAAACATAGCAATCATAAATATATTACAGATATAATATATACCTTAAGGTAGTCTCAAATAGCTTATATTTCACATAGGTTATGTGATCAAATCATATAAGATTAATAACTGATTGACATGGAATAATTTACAATCATAGGTCATGTTACATAATCATTTCACATGGGTAATGTGAGAATATTATCAAGGTCAAAAGTCAAACAGTCATGTGAAATAGTTATGAGGGTCACAAAAGGCCAGGGGAAAAGTTAAAAAGCACAATATAGCTAGATCACTCCATTAGCCAGGGCAAAATTTTATTTAACAGGATAGTAACATCAAAGTTAACTGCTAAAATCTTGAATCAATCTTGATTTCCTATACTAATGTTGCTTTTCAAAGAATCATTATACTACCTATATGAGAAACACTAAAACAAAGTCTAAAACTATTTTTATCAGTATATTTCTATCACATATTTCTTGTATACCCACACATCCATGGTTGGCTATAGCAAACTCTTGTCTCCATTTCTAATGCTATCATTTAAATCTACAACTAGATAATAGATCATTTCAGTCAAGTATTTAAATTGACCTTAAAGATAAACTTGCAATGTTTAATTAGCCTTGAAGATAAACATAAAACATATAAATGGATATGCACAATGTTACCTTAACATAATTATTATCTCTCACTTGGCACTGCTATTTAGACCTTTACACTCAGGAGCAAAATGTGTTTTTTTTCTGCCCTAGAAATTTTTTTGTACTTAAATTTACAAAACCTTTTTACAATGAGCCTGACACTGTTGCTTCACTGACAACCACTCAAACTAATATATTTATATCGATTGTTACAACAGGTAGAAATATTTTATGTATTTTATTAATGGTGATTTATTAATGGTATTTTTTATATGTCAAGAATTACAATTTTGTATATAATGATATCAGAGAAATTATTAATTGTTTTCATGACAGAGGTGCAATCTGATATCACCAAGTGTTTGTTACCCTAACAACACCATCTCTAATCTTTCCACAACAAATTCTGAACAATGTTAAATGATTATTACCTTTGTCTCTCCTTACTTATAAATAAATATCTTTTGACAGGTTATTTATTTTTCAAGCATTGTTATGGCTCATCACACAATGTTATAACTTATTCTTTAAGTATATTATGCTACAACTGTTGCTTGGAAACTTACAGCTCAAATAGACCAACAATTGCCATCTGTATAAATATCAGACTGGTTATTTGGTTATTTCTTTTTGCTCACAAATGGTAAACTGAAACACAGTCTTATGTTATCATTTATATAATAAATACCAGTTAGACATAATAATTTATATCTTAGAACCAGTCAGACATGATCATTTATATCAATAGTTCTGCAAAAAGTTAATAAATTGATCTGATAAGAATGAACATACACAGTGGAATTTGAAAGATACAGACTCTTGGTATTTGGTACTAAACAGTAGTGACTGTTAAGAAAGATGAATCATCATGGGATTCTTGATCAAAAGTCTGCACTCGTCTTTAAGGACTCTTTCTTGATCCCAAACTTGTGTAAAGGTTATAAAATCTGATTAACCATAAATATAGAATAGGGTTGGAACACATAATGTACACCAGGTTCATCTGAAAACCAGAAAGATATAGAAAGGTATTATACACACACCTTAATATGAATTCACAAATATAAGATTAATATTTTGAATGACCCAATAGCGTGAGTACAATCTTAAAGTTAAGAATTATATTATATTTAATTACTATTATTATATTATATATTTTTTTCTTAAACGAATGATCATGAAAACAAAGTTCAACAAGTTTTCATAATGACATTAGAAAAAAGTATCACAAATATTCATGATAAAACAAGGTAAAAAATTTGAAATATTTATCATAGAAGCCTCTGTCAATCTGTATGCAGGGTTTGATCAGTTTATCATAGGACCATTTCAATGTATCATTAAAAACATATTATAGTGAGATATTCCAGTCATTACAATAACAATACACTTCAGAAATCATCAATAAATACTTAAACCCCCCTAGGAACTGGGACTCCATTATACCCTCGACTCCATTATCCAGTTGTAAACAGATTTTCAGCTATTTTTTTCCCAAACCATAGAAAACATATTGATACATCAATCAACACTTTAAGATATTCTTAATTGATATCCAATTATTATTTTTTCTGTATCTACATTAATATAAATCTTAAGGTTTATAAAACAACTGGTCTAAGGAACAGTCTTACATCACATGACAGTGTGATCACAACACTGTTTCTTGTTAACTGCTGCAAAATAGTTTAGAATTTTGTTTAGAATTCCATGCATTTTAAAACATTAAAATGATGTTGAACCAAATCATAAACACTATTATCATGTATTATGGAGGATTATTAAAAACATCACTTGTCTGCAGGCTATCAATCAATGTTGCTGCCAAAACAAAGCATTCAATAAATATCCTCACCTGAGGTAACAATTCAAATTTCAAAAGTTCATTTGTTCTTACATTATTTTTTTGTTGTTCTACTTGTGACTTATTTTTATTTTGACATTTAAAGTTAGATCAGTGTAAACTGCCCTGAGTTTATGACCACTGACATTATGACCATTGACAATTCAGTGTCATGACCATCTTATGTATTGAATATGAAATATTAATGTGACTAGTAAATTATAATTGCCAATGCAAAATATCCAGTATTAGATAAGGCACATTTATAACTTAACATCTTTATGTATTTTTTCTTGTTTTAAATAAGTTTTACAAGAGCAGTTCAATTATAATAACATATACTGAAGTTGGATCATTCATGTGTACATCTAAATTATTTCTCTTAAAGGGACTCTACTTAGGACAGGAAATAATATTTTTCAAGATTTACATGTATATACCATTTGAGGAAGGTCTAGACCAATAACTTTTGTGATTTCCTATGTCATTTTTAAAAAAAACTAGAACTATCGCTGAATGCGATTCATACCCCCACCAATGTCCTTGACAGAAGACCACTTGGAAAGGTGGTTAAGGGAATAACTTATGTAGCACAAATGCATAAAAAGAAATTATCTCTGGTGAAAAAAAAGACTAATTGTACAGGTAATAGTATAAATATGTATTATAAAATCATGTTCGAAACAGTTACAAATAACCTTTCATTTTCCCAATGTATTAAACATTTTATTTATAAGTCAATTTTTGACCTTCAAGTGTGGCCTTGACCTTAATCTGGCACAAGGGTAAGATGGGTTTTGCACATCACCCAGTTTGGTTGAACATTTGAGTAAAGACAAAAGTTTGAAGAAAATCCTTCCAATAGTATAGAATTTATAGAGTAGACACAATATATTGTCTAGTATTGGTTGTATGTAAATTTGAAGACTTAAAAAGGGGCATAACTTTGTCAAAATGCAATACAGAGTAATGAAACTTGACCTGCATATCTTATTTGCCACACCTCATATATCTTTTAAGTTTCAAGCAAATGCCTGCGCTAGTTTCAGAATTATTCAAGTACATGTTAAAATTTAAGAACATTTTCTAAGTCAATTTTCGACTTTCAAGTGTGACCTTGACCTTTAGCCGGCACAAAGGTGACATGGATTCTGCACATAACCTTGTTGAGGTGAAAATTTGAGTAAAGTTTGAAGAAAATTCTTTCATTAGTATAGGATTTATAGAGCGGACACAACATAATAAAATTGTCTAATATTTGATTGTATGTAAATTTGAAGACTTAAAAAGGGGCATAACTTTGGTAAAATGCAATACAGAGTTATGAAACTTGAACGAACAGCATATCGGAATTGTGACCCTTCAAAAATATTTTAAGTTTCAAGCAAATACCTTTTCTACATTTAGAAATATTCAAATAAATGTTAAAATTTAAGAATATTTTCTAAGTCAATTTTTGACCTTAAAGTGTGACCTTGACCTTAAGCCAGCAAAAGAGTGACATAAGTTCTGCACATCCCCTGGTTGAGATGAACATTTGAGCCAAGATTGAAGAAAATCTTTCAATTAGTGTAGGACTTACAGAGCGGACATGACATACTGTGTAATATTAGATTGTTTGATATTTGACCTTCAATTGTGACCTTGACCTTGAGCTGACACATGGGCAACATGGGTTCTGCACATCCCCTTGTTGAGGTGAATATTTGAGCCAAGTTTGAAGAAAATCTTTCAAGTAGTGTAGGACTTACAGAGCGGACACAACATACTGTGTAATATTTGATTGTTTGATATTTGACCTTCAATTGTGACCTTGACCTTGAGCTGGCACATGGGCGACATGGGTTCTGCACATCCCCTGGTTGAGGTGAACATTTGAGCCAAGTTTGAAGAAAATCTTTCAAGTAGTGTAGGACTTACAGAGCGGACACGATATACTGTGTAATATTTGATAGTGTTTGATATTTGACCTTCAATTGTGACCTTGACCTTGAACTGACACATGGGCAATATGGGTTCTGCACATCCCCTTGTTGAGGTGAACATTTGAGCCAAGTTTGAAGAAAATCCTTCAATTGGTATAGGAGTTATAGAGCGGACACAAAAGTGGAGACGGACCGACCGACCGACGGACGGACCGACCGACGCGACATAGCGAATCCATTATAGCCCCCCCCACATTTTGTGGTGGGGGTATAATAATTGTTTTTTTTAATGTGATTAGATAGATACTAATATATTTCTTTCCCAAGGGAGAGCATTAAACTTTTAACTCAAAGCGGGCTTAGAATCAAATAAAATATAATTGTCAATTTAATTAGGAGTATATATCTTTTAGATCTTCCATGCATCTTGTTATTTTTAACTCCTATGTAAAAAAAATTCAAATTTTATGTTTAAAGGCTTTTGTACCTCAGTGGAGATCCTTTAATTACTGAAGTCATATTTGCCTTGTCAATTAAATATTGCAGTTTTTCTTTTAATATTTTGACCACATTAAGGTCTTTTCCCAAGCATAGCCAAAAAACATACTTTGATAATTTTTTATTTTCATTACAGTAACATTTGTTAGAAATAAATTGAAAGTGACTATACATTTTAGCATTTTTTGCAGCAGTTAATTAATATGGTATATTGTTATAATTTATGTGTTCATGTGCAACTTATTTGTGTTTTTATGCCTTAACAATATTTCTACATATTTTACCATTTTGTAAATATATTGTATAAATCATGAAAATGCAATAAACTATAAAAAAAGTTGTTTTATTACTTCATTGAATCAGTATTCCATTAATAAACACTATGATTTACAGAGATATGTTTTCTGGCAAAGAGATTTGCATTTTTTCTTAAAACAGTGATCATCATGTATAACCAGTGAGCATAAAGAACAGTAAAAATTATGTTATTGAAGCTATATATATTGGTTAATATAAAGCATCAGTCAATTGTAATCATAGCCCTTCCATCACAGGGGAATAGTTTGGACTTCTGAATTGACACTGCAGTCAGTGCTGGGACAGACTGACAGTAAAGGCTCAGCCAACTTAGCTCAGTAAGAAGAGCATTGACAAGGCAGCTCAGGTTTGATCCTCAATAAATTAGTAAGTTGGTCACCTGTAGAGAAATTGGTAAATACTGATAAGTTATTCAAGAAAACTGGTTAAGTGGATCAAAAGCAGAGGTATGGCCAAAAAATATCCAATTGAAATCTATAAAAAACAACAACAAAAAAAAAACAAGAAAAACAAACAATGCAAACACAAACCAATCACTAAACTCTGATGTGCCTTTTTTATTTATCTTGCCCTGACTGTAACTGTTCTGGCAGTGTGTATCTACAGTTACAATGATATGAATTATCACTTTTTAAATGTTATTCTTGGCTAAATAATTTTCTAAAGAACCCTTCCATAGTTAAATTTGGTTTTACAGGAATGTGATAAAAATCATTTTTTCCAAAAAGGACCAACCCTGCTATGATTTTAGAACTTGAGAGATTTCTGAAATATCAAAATACTCAATATGTTACCAACAGTTAAGGTGTGGTCAGACTGCACAAATGTACAGGGCTTGGGCTGAATTCTGGTGGCAAAAGTAAGCTACTTTCATCTGATGCATTCTGTAACTTATGTTAATTTACCATACATGTGTATAATATATCATAACAAATATATTCTTTTTATAAACTCTTGCTAAAGTTTAACCTGTAGTCAGGATACAGGACTTCTCAAGGTCATGAAATGATATAAATGACTATTAACACTATAAAAGAACTTTTATTTCTCATCTTATCAGTTTTATGAACATTTTATCAGCAATTCCTCATCAATATACCATGGTTAAATGATAATCAGACATTTTTTCTGGCACTTCAATCACTATGGTTCAACTCATATCACTTATAAAACAATCAATGTATAAAATTCCAAGTGGCTTGAAAAACCTGCCAGACTTTCAAATGAACCAGAATCTCCAAGAGAAATAAAGTTACAGAAAAATATCAATTTGCAAACTTTATTGAATTAATTTTTGGACAGTTGATTGTGGGCTTTAGGTATATAATAGGTATATAATATCACAACTGAAAGTCAAGTCAATCTCCCTACTAGTAAAGTGTTATTAGTTAAATGCAATTCCAAATGAATTATGTTTCAAATGATTTACATCGAGAGGTTAGCGATTTGTCTCTCTGATAAACAATTCTGATAAATTGTTTTTAAACAAGAGGGCCATAATGGCCCTGAGTCGCTCACCAGAAACAACTGATTTTCAGTGTTGAAAAGTCAATATATTCTAATATTAAATTTGAGCATAAAATATGTTTAAACAATAATTTGAAGAAATGCCATGACCTGGGGCATTTAAGCTTTAGCTTAAACGGGGCTAATCAAATTAATATGAGCAAACTTGATAAAAGACAACCTAAGAATGCTACAATACCTATCAATTATTTCAGTAGCAAACTTGATAAAACAGTACCCAAGAATGCTACATACAGAGTTTGGTGATCATCCTTCCATTAGTTCTGTAGAAGATGTTTAAAGGTTTTTCTATTTTTAGCCCTAGAGACATCTAAAAGGGGCCAATCAAATTAATATGAGCAAACTTGATAAAAGACTACCCAAGAATGCTACAGACAAAGTTTGGTGAGCATCCATCAATTAGTTCTGTAGAAGAAGATGTTTAAAGGTTTTTCTATTTTTAGCTCTGCTGACCCCTAAAAGGGGCCAATTGGAATGACATGAGCAAATTCAAGTGTGACTGTCACAAGGATGCTACAGACCAAATTTGAAGTAAATCTGCTTAGTAGTTTCAGAGAAGAAGACGATTGTTGACGCATGACGATGGATGCCGGAGCATCCCCCTTTGATACTAATAGCTCACCCTGTGCCTTCAGCTATGGTGAGCTAAAAAGACAGACAAAGTTTGGTGATCATCCATCAATTAGTTCTGTAGAAGAAGATGTTTAAAGGTTTTTCTTTTTTTAGCTCTGCTGACCCCTAAAAGGGGCCAATTGGAATGACATGAGCAAATTCAAGTGTGACTGTCACAAGGATGCTACAGACCAAATTTGAAGTAAATCTGCTTAATAGTTTTAGAGAAGAAGACGATTGTTGACGCATGACGACGAACGACGGAGCATCCCCCTTTGATACCACAACAACAACACATGCTGCAGGGATCATAATAGCCATTATGAAAAAACTTTTTCTTGAAACAGACAAGCTCAAAATGTATTTATATAATCATTTCTCCCTATTTCAAAAGGAACTTTTAAACTATCTTTTATAAAAAAATTGT